ACCTGGACGATGCGGTGTACAAGGCTTTCGAGTACAAGCATCTGGGTAGTTTGGCATACATTGGTAACGCAGCCATCTTCGACTACAATGGCTACGGCTTGAGCGGTGGTCTGCTGGCCGTTTACTTGTGGAGAGGCGTCTACTTTGCGCAGAGTGTTAGCCTCAGAACAAGGTGTTTACTCGCTATGGACTGGACCAAGAGGGCGTTGTTTGGACGTGGTATGTCATTCCTTTCTTAGTGGTGTAATACTGTGACTTCAGCTAACATGCAATAGATTTGATGAACTTCTAAGCGATACATGGCTTGCTTTTGCGAAGCGTAGATCGATAGACCGATGACCGTTTTTCGGGTACCTCATCTTCCTGTGTAGATTATTCCTTTGTTTGATCTATTGAGGGCGGCTTGATGCTGTCACTTTTACCAATATATTTTATCTTGTTCAATGACACAAGCGGAAGTACCTTCGCTGACATGCTTTCTTCGTTTTCATGTGTATAGCTGAGTTCGTGCAGCGGCGGAGCTGGTGTTACTCGACACACCGCTATCTTCCCATGATCATGTGCACATTAACCCGGATTCAATATCGTTGTTCAATTTATGCCGAGTTGGTTAGACGGTCCAAATCCGATGATGATGAAGTACGGGCACAGAAAGTAAGCCGGGTCACGCCATGGAAATAATGTGTATACAAAGTAAGCCGGATCACGCCATAGAGATGCCCGCGTCTCCCCAACTTCTCAATTGAATTTTGTCTTTGTGATAGTTGAGCTGAGGTCTTTGTGCTTTCAGCGCAATCGATGGACTTGGAAATACACCGAGTATTTGTGCAACGCTGTCGGATGCTGTTGGTTTGGAGAGAATGATCTCACGCCATTTCTTACACTTCTCAGCGTAACGTTTAGTGTACACGAAAGAAGTCATCTTTGTCACAGAATGCGCGTGAGGCATGGCATCGATGAGGATGTATAAGTATTGCCTATTTCTACCCATCTCTAGAAGCTAAACAGACAGCATCTTCAACGACCGAACTTCCAAGATCAACATTCATCGCTTTAATCAGAAGTCCATCGAGATCTTACGCCTCAAGCAAATATGCCTGCCACCACCTCATCCATGCTTTCCACTCTCCTATTAGCCATCCCTCTGCTCTTCCCCTACGTTACCACTGCCGCAGCAGTCGTCAAGAAAGACGTATCATCCGCAGTCGTAGTAGCTTCCGAAGCAGCCCTCGTAGACGCAGCCGTCACCTTCACCTTGTTCTCTAGCGATGCCCAATGCCGGGCCAACCAGGGCACCCGGTACGCCAATCCTGACGGAGGCTGTTACTCATTGCCCCAGAACTCGATGGATGTCAATGCTATAGCTGATAGCTGCCGTGGTATGTATTTCGATTTCACCATGAGCTAGGTACAAGGCGACGAAAGCTGACACGACGTGTTTAATGCAGTCTTCATTTACGAATCCGGGAGCTGCGACGGTCGCGAACAGCAGGTTTACGCCGGAAACGTCTGTGTGGATATTGCCAGCTTCAGAACCATCAAGGCGTTCTGCGGTTGAGCGGATAATAGCCTTAGAAGAGTCGTTGAGGCTGTCTTTTCAGAATCTCTCAAGGAGATTCAAAGTGGAAGTGAGGATCGGTTCTGTGCTGTCGTTTTCTTGATCATCGCATTCAACATGCGACTCTGATATTTGTACTGAGAAAAGACCAGTGTAGGTAGCTAGGCCAATGAAACTGCGTCGCGCTGATGAACGTACTCTGAACAACTTATGTACCCGTGAACATGCAGCGTAGTCGAAGCGTGCATACATCAGCTGTCCCGCAATCCTGCCTTCAAGGCTCTTGCTCATCCATCGCTTCGAGCCGCGTGCGGACCATGTTAGGATTCGAGTGTCCTTGTTCGTCGGTCCAGCATTTCAACACTTCTTCGCGCATAATCCTGCGCGGAGCTCTCTTGCCCGTGAAAAGTTCGAATTGAGCGAAACCTTGTTCAGGCAACAGATCAAGGCCATCCAAGCAGATCCATGATGCTGACGCTTCTTCGCGAACTTGTCTTGTCAGTGGCGTATTGAGCGTTCGGTAAGCTAGTTCTATCACTACACCTCCAGAAGGAGACTGCATCCATTGAGTGGGCAGCGTAAAATCAGGCGATGGTTCATCCCCTACAGGATGCGTAGGTATACATGATACAATGACTGTCGGTGCGCGGAGATCTTTTGGCCAGGGGTCGTCCCTCGACTCGAGTATGCGAAAAGTGGGTTGAGAACCCTGGACGAACGATGGAAAGAGCTTGGCTGCGGATGGGCTTGCAGCCAGTGCAGAGAAGTAGCTGACTAGCTTCTGTGCGTTCTTGATTGTTCGGTTGAAGATTACGATGTTCTTGATGCCAAGCTGTAGCATGGCATAGATCGCCGCCCTAGCCATACCTCCTGACCCGATGACCAGGCTAGAGGTGGTCGTTGGCCGAACAGCGTTGGCAGGAGACAGACCTCGTCGTATACAAGACCGAATGCCTATCCAATCTGTATTGTCGCCAAAGAGTGCTTTGACAGGCCCGGACTGGTTGCGTTCCTGGTAAAGCTCAACCCCGTCCGCATCGGGAATGCTGCCGTCCTCGTTGAGATGGCGAATTGGCAGAAGCGTGTTGACTGCTCCAATCGCTCGCGCGTGGCGACTTAGCGCGTGAGAGAGAGCAACCGCATCCACTTTAAATGGCTGGCTGACTGCAGTGCCGCCAAAGTTTGGCCGTCGTATCAACTCCCGTATGTTTTCGTCCAGTGTCGCAGTTTGGAGGCGGTCAAAGTGGTGAGGCATACCACACGCTCGATATGCCGCATTGTGCATAGCAGGGCTAAGACTGTATCCCGCGGCGGCACCGATGATGTAAAACTCCATAGGGTCATATGTAAACGAAGCATATAGAATATGCGTAGCTTCTGTCACAGTAAGCCATGACGTTTCTGGGTTTCTTTGTGCTCTGGTCTCAAAATCTGCGCTCTTTCGTAGCTTTTCTGGTATCACAGGGGTCAGAACCTGGTTGAAGCAAGCAGAACGCCGGCCAGCGCGTCCGGTGTTATAACATATTATGGGTATTCTCGGTGACTTGGCGTATATAGTGTTGCGGAATGATTGAATGGCGGCGTTATCGTCCATGAAGTTCGCTGGCCGGGTAAAGCGTACCAGGCTGCAGCCCAATCGCATTGCTGTATCGTATTTCTCGAGCCAGAATACATCGTACCAGTCCATGGCTGCGTGAAGGTGGCCGATTATCTTGGTCGAGCCCCTCGACGCAACGATTGCGCGGATCAGCTCCTCGTCCATGGTAAGATCCACAGTGGCGAACTCAGGTGCCATTCGCAGACCGTACCACAAATTTGCCAGGTAGGACGTTGTGGAACGGCCTGAATGTGCTGAAAGAGGCATCGTGTGAAACATTATCGGGGTCACGGTACTCCTTCGCACTCTGAATATACTCTTGCTTATGTTCTCCGCGTGATCCGCTGTAAGCTGTGCGGGTTCAACGACTATCTCGAATGCGTCACAGCCAAATTCCAGCTCTTCAATGTCGACTTCTTCAGGCGTAAGATCTGATAGTTCAACCTGAACGGCGCATGTGTAATTCCTAAGCTCCAAATCGACATACGATAATGGGAAGTGACCAGGGTCGAGCGTGGGCGCGTCACTCTTGATCTTTCTGCGGGTATTCGTGGGAGATAGGATAAGTGCCAAAAACTTGAAGAAAGTTCTTTCCGCTCGTTTTAGCGTCAGGAATGCTGGCACGGACGGCTGGTGTGCAGGTGCAACCGAGAGGTGAGCTGCGTTCGTTTCGGATATGTTGTAGAACTCGTAGTTGGAGCATCGCCGGAAAACCGGAGTACTGAGAGCAAGCAACTCTCGAACTTTGGATTCGTCCGTGTCTAAGTATTCGCGTACATCGCGCACGTCTCGTGTAATGTGTATTACTGGGTGCGATGCCGAAAATTCATGCAGTAGAGCTTGGCTACTGCTATCCAGCGGAAATCCTCCGTTGCAGACGATAATGGCGCCTCTGCTGTGGTTCTGTAATGTGTCGCGTAGAATCTCCTCCTGCCGGAGACTACGATTCGAAGATCCAAACTGTTTACGATACGCAGCGGTCGAGAAGCCTGTTGCAGTGTGGAAGACACTCTCCATGTCGATGACCCTGCGCTGACAGGCTACTGAAGCCATCATTGCCAATGTTGCTTTTCCTGTGCCATGCATGCCAATGAGCACGATAGACGCCCGGGAGTCAAACATTCTTCGGCATTCGTACTGAGTGGGTGCTGGTGTTGACCTTGCCGAATTCGGTAGACTTCGCTGTTTGGATGCCGGCGGAGATGGTGTTGGCAGCGAAGCTCGCCCGTCCATCGTTCCGGTTTCCGTGTTCATTGCAGCAAATGAACGCTTCGCACCAACCGTCATGGACGCCATTGTTTACGGGACTTGAAATATGAAAAATGTAGTTCCCAGATGTCAACAACATGAAGCAGAACATGGTGCCGCAGTTGGCAGCGACGAGTGCCTTAGCGAAACACGTGATAGCGATGCGCCCCGCTTTTCCACGGGGATAAAACTTTATCCTGGTGTGCAGACGCTTCCCCGGCTTTCTCCAGTGCCTCACTAGGTAAGCTCGATGGCTTCTTTAGCAAGATGCTCGACCACCCCATATCTGGGTGATCACCAATCTGCTCTTTCGGTAAGGCTCTATGAGGCGTTGTCGTGTTCTTTGTGCGACGGCGAACGATCGCTGCCGAACGAATGTCTTTGCAAACCCAGGAGAAACGCCGCCAGGCCACACAAGACATACCGGTAAAACGGTTTCGGGTATCAAGAGCTTGCGATCAGTGTCGCAATGCTCGCGAGAAATGTGACGCGAACCAGCCCAGCTGCTCTCCCTGTCTGGATGCCAAGCGCACGTGTACATACACGTCAAACCCGAAGAAGCGAGGGCTCCAGCCCGGCTACATACGCAGTCTTGAAATGACACTGGCCTTCATTTTCCAACAGCACGCTGAGATTGAGACTTCAGTACACGAGCAACTGGCCCAGGAGAATACGGTCTTGCTAGCGAGGGGTACTAAAGACTCGAATCGTTTACACAAGAGCTGGACCAAGAGCAGGTTTTGTCGAGATGTCACCAAAGCATTGTCTGGAGAGCAGATAGGAGCAAGCGAAGACAGGCCGCCAAGTTCAGACGAAGACAGTGAGGTGGACACTGAAGATGCCACGCTTCTCCAGATGACACCAAAAGCTCAGTCTCAGCATTCGGTACTAGCCCTATGTGACTATCTTGATGAGTGCTGACTTATGCAGATATCATGGCAAAGTGACACGAACTACATGCCGCAGACTATGCGCCCACCTCCATTACCGGACCTTCATTCTCCGCGTCTGCAGCAATCTGCAGGCTCTTCTACCCTTACCCCCCTGCCTACAGACTGCTGGAGGTTGATCGAGATATACTGCACGTATACACAATGCTGGTTGCCCATCGCGGACAAGCTTGAGATCCTCAAACTCTCGTACTCTTATGCGGAACAAGGTTTGGCTCTGTCAAGCGATATGTCCAACTCGGGAAGTTACGCAGAGATGTGGAGTGTATTTGCAGTCGGCTCTACGCATGATGACGCGAGTCTCGCAGGAGAAAGCTATCATCCATGGCCGTCCGGAAGACTTTACGACATCGCGAGGCAACTTATCCCCAATGAGCTAGGCAAATTCGAACTCGGGCATGTCAAGGCCCTTCTCAACCTAGCATTGTTCAACATTCATGGGAAATTATTCGATGCTGCTTGGCATCTTGTCGGCGGTGCTTTACGACTAGCCCTCATGCTTGCAGAATCGCCAGATGCTGTTACACTTCGGCTCAAGCATGTTATCTCGAGTTGCTTTGTGCTCGACAGTCTTTTGGCCTTACATCTTAAACGGCGCCCGTACCTCGACAGGGCCGATATTTCGTGGATGGGCAAGATAGAGGAAGATGGCATGGAAGAATGGCAGCCATGGGGTGGCCATCTCAATCTTGGTCCATCACGTCTGTCAAACTCTCCGACACTCGCTTTGAGCACTTTCAACGCTCTCATGGAACTGGTTGACATTCTACGATGTACGTCTATGGAGCGGACAGCGCCAAACTTTCTACATGAGATGATTGGCCGACTTGAGATGTGGAAGTCAGCGTTACCACCAAAACTCGATTACATTCGGAAAGATCCACCTTCTACGCCACCGACCCCACCTGCATTGCTTCTCCGATTCACTTATCTCGTCACTGCGTTCACTCTCGTTCCATCTCAGGCGTGGCTTCAGCAGATCTTGGATATGTTAAACATCCTACAACAGCAGCTTGGGGTCACAAGAATGCCAGCTGTCATCACCTGCTTATTACAAAGTATCAAGAGAAGCACTAATAGTCTGACTCTGGATCAACCGACACATACTCGAATTCACGAGTTATTTGCTGCTCTTGGCCATTCATCACAAGCGACCTCGGAGAGAGCATCATCGGGTTTGCGATCGATATCGGTCACTTTAAGAGACGCGTCTTCGGAAGATTCTGGAACCGTTCAGACCTCTCCGCAGTCTCTCGTCTCACAAAATAGCGGTCCGTTCACCGATCGGTACCAGCAACCGCCCAACCAGTCTACTATGGTCCATCCAAATATGAACGTTAGCCATGCAGGTCACAGTCTGCAACCATTCGAACCCAATCTATTCGATTTTGGAATGAACGGCCCGATATTCGACCCCCATGATCCTTATAATGCTTTAGTCTCGGGTGATTTGGGAAGTTTCCTGGACGACTTCGCTTCAAAGCATGGTGCCAAGAAATTACAAAACCAACCGCAGTTTATGGAGAACCTCGGATTTTCATCGGAAGTAAGCATGGCCGATCTATTGGCGGCTGATACTGGCCGTTTCATGCCTACTGCATCGAACCTAGGCGTAGATAACAGCGAAGAGTCTCCTCAATTCCCGCTCAACACTTTCTACGATGCTGGTTGAGCCCGACTGCAGGCTGTTGAGCTCAAAAAGCAGGCAATACCTCGCTACCCAAGAAGTCCAGAATAGCAGAGTCAAGACGTTTGCCTTCATCATTCTGGGCGTCGCATTAAGGAACGATGCTTGATTGTTGGGTATCTTCTACATATAGACTGTCAAACGATAAGAAGCACAGGAAAGCACTGGAAATTGAATAAAACAACCACATCAGCATCCACCTCATAGCCGCGCATACTCGGCTTGTCCCACATTGCTTATTTCGTTTCGCGGTCTCTCCATAGACGCCAATGTATCATACACCGCACCCGTACCAAGCTGCAAATCATGGCACATGGCATGCCACGCGGCCGCAGCGCGCTGTGCCAGTTCTTCAACGACCCCCTTGTCCTCTCTGTTCATGACTCGATTGAATAACTCCATGCTGACCCAGCCCTCAAATCCGATGTCCTTTATGATGGCACGTGTGACATCTTTCACGGGCAAGTATGCTCCACGACTAGTCTCGCCATAGAACAGCCTGCAGTTCCTGCTCCAAGACATGCGAGCTGGCTGTTCGGCGTTGTAGAAGGGATGACCGGGAAGCAACGGTCGTGCGAGACGCTCGGCGTCGACAATCTGGATGAAGAATATCTTCTCTTTGTGGGGTTTGATCTGGGCAACCAGTCGTTGTATCGAGTCGCGAACTGCCTGATCAGCTCCTACGACCTTTCCAGATTCGGCGGTAGGGTCTGCATATATTCTGCCCAGGATGTTGAAGCTGTCCAGGCAGATGCCAAAGTTCGATCGATCAACACGTTGTACGATATCCCAGCACACTTCCCATTTGTCAACGTGTGTTCCCCAGCTTAGGCTTTCGTATGCGAATCGGATGATTGGTGTCTGTTGCAGCCCAAGGTCTGCAATCTCTCGAAGGTCACTGACGATGAGGTCTGTATCGGAGGATGTCTGGTTGGGGGGTAGAAACGACGAAGGGACTTGGACTATGTCTGTTCGGAGGACATGCGCTAGCTGCATCCAAAGCTTCATCTCTTCGACCCGCTCAGCGTGTCGCTTCCTGTCCAAGAGACCCTCATAGTGCATGAAAGGCTGCAGACATATGATCTCCAGGCCCAGGGAAGAGCAAAGATCGTAGACTGAGGCAGCGCCAGCCAGTAGGTCGGATGGCTTGTCGGACCCGGCGTGATCGACTAGGTCCTCGTAGAAGAGCTCGATGCCCTCTAGTCCGTGTTTCGCCGCCATGGAGAGTTTGTGTTCGAGGCTGTGGCCAGCGTAGCATCGGCCTAGCGACATGGAGGAGATACCTGGGCGGCACGGCATAATGCTGATAGAAGATAGGAGATAGAATATGGAGGATAGAAGATAGAAATGGAGGCGGATGTAATATGCAGTATGGTATTGTGAAGGTGGAACTACAGTATGAATACTAAGAGGCTAGCAGTCATACCTGTGAAGCTGATAAGACATCTATAAGCAGCTGGCGTACATTCAAGGCCGTTCATAACCCACCGATATCCTAATCAACGCATCCTGCACGACCGTTTCCTACCATGCACATACGCATTGAACCTTCCTCGTCCAATCACGCGCGACGAGCACTTGTCGCTCGCCATCCCGGAGTAATGTTGGAAAATGAAACACACTCCTTACGCAACCGTGATGTGCCGTGGCAAGCAGTAGGCAAGCCCAGCCTGGTGACATCTTGGTGGTGCAGATGGGGGTTCGGCGCTAGCCGGGCGGAAAAGAGCTCACACCCGTGCCCAGGTGCACCGCGCCACTTCGGTCATCGGCTCCCGATCGAAAAATGGGCCGAATCACTCTTGCATCCCCAAGCCAAGGCGCGCTATAGGAAAGCATCTGAGAAGTACTCTTTGACAGTTTCTAAACGTTCTAGTGAACCACACGCTGTAATAATACACAAGTTTGTGTACACCAGCTAGATGTCAATGCTGCATGAGTCTGCAGCACAGCGGGCAGTTTTGGACGCCGGTGGTTTTTGGCAAATATGTGATCGGCTGGTTGACGTATGTACAACCACTCTTTCGACAAGAAAGATCCGACGCCTTCAGTGACCCGGGCGTGCGAAACTGTCCGGCTGTACAACCTTGGAATTTAAGCAACTGCAATAATACATCATCAACGACCAGCGCGAAAGCAGAGTCCGCACCGACCTGACAGCTAAGCTAAAAGCGCTTGCTCTTCTACGCGACCACGTGCTCGGGGTCAAATGCCCGTGGAGAAAGCGTTCATCCTGCCGGTAATGATTAGCGGTTTCGAGCCGACGTAGCCGACACGTGTGAAGGCGTTGTCTCTCACGTCGCGGAAGGCCAAACCGCCCTCTATGCTGTAGGGGCTATGACGTCATTGGAATCGCTTGTTGGACTCGCCGTTCGTGAGCATACCTAGGTACCTATCGCCCTGAGCGGTCTCCAAAAGTATTATGATGGCCTGACTGATTAGTCTACCTCAGCTGTACTAGAAACTTGCTAATCCACTCAGGCCCTGATTCAGTGTTGAAACGCAAGTGCCCATGCAGCATTCAGAGATCGCTATTGTAACCGTCTTCGATTCCTGCAACGTTCTGGACAGTGCACACCACAACCAATCCAGTCATTAAGGCAAATATTCGAAGCACTCACAGGTAATGCTCATTGATCATGATATAGTTTCATTTGCACGCGACTACGAGTATCAGGTGTATGACTACAAACACTTAAGCCATCTCAGTATGCTCATCTGCCCTTGCCTTCTCATCCCTGATCGTCAAGTTTACTTCCTCATTCTCCTTCATCCTGTCCACAAGGATACCATGTGCCTTGAAAGCGGGCTTGATTGTGAAGAGCTCGTCCATGCGCTCAAGTGGGACTCCCTTTGTCTCGGGTATCAGGAAGAAGACAAAAGGTATAGAGAGCAACATGAGGCATGCGAAGAACATGTATACTCCGTAGCCCATGGAGGCAAACATCTGGGGGGTGAAACGAGAGATGATGAAGTTCCAGAACCAGTTGTTTGCCGCGGCGAATGCCTGACCCAAGGAACGCGTCTGTTGGCTGTACATCTCGGAGTTGATGACCCATGGGGTACCGTTCCACGAAGGAGTGTAAAAGGCGGTCCAGAGGTAGAAGAAGAAGACTGCGCTGATACCGCCGGAGGAGAGTTCGCCCGAGGCGTTCTTGTTGTTCGTTGGGTCGGCGATCTTGATGTAGGCAGCGATGTACCACATGCACAAAGATCCACCTGGTTAAGTAGTCAGTAAATGTTTCGTATCCTGTTGGTGGATTGAAGACTTACCCAGAGCGCCGAACATGAGAAGCTTAGTGCGGCCGAGACGATCGATGAGCCAGATGAGCCAGACAAAGGTCAGAACGCACTTGACAACACCAAAGATACCAGTGGTAAGGAAGCCTTCCGTGACGCCGAGACTCTTGAAGACAGTTGGAGAGTAGTAGTTGATTGCGTTGATACCGGATCCGTTCTGCCAAAGGAACAGCATGCCACCAAGGAAGATACGGTATTGTACCTTGCGTTGTTTGAGCGCAAGGAACGGCTTCCAGAATCCAGGTCCGACCGTGATTCTGTCATGTTCGACCTGAGCATCTATGGCATCGAGCTCCTCCATGATATATGTGTGGTCTTGGGGAAGGTTACGGATCCAGCATAGATCCTTCAGTGCTTGTTCGCGCTTTCCCTTGGTCAGGCACCATCGAGGTGATTCCGGCATCCAGAAGGCGCCAAGCAAGAGGCAGCCGGCAGGAATGAGTTGCACAGCGAACGGAATGATCCATTGCTTGTGGGAAGGCTCCATCGTCTCCTGAAGACCGTAGTTGATCCAGCTATGAGTGTGTTAGTACGCGTTACTCCTGAACGGAATCCAGGTTGCATGACTTACAATCCAACGAGACCTCCCATTTGCCAGCCGAGCTCGTAGATGCCGACCAGACGTCCGCGCACAGCTGGTGGTGATAGTTCGGAAATGTAGATAGGAACCATGTTGCTGCATCCACCAACTCCCAGACCTGCTAGTACACGACCACCAATGATCAAACCGAGGCCTCGGTCGCCATTGGCACCCAGCATCATGCCAGCACCCAAAATGAACTGGGTATGTCAGTATTTGTCTCAGTATACCTGTAAAGTACTCGGGTGACTCACAATGAGTACCCAGAGAATGAGCGACTTCCTCCTGCCAATGTAGTGACTGGACGCATACGCTCCAAAAGCTCCGAAGAATGCACCAGCTTGGTACACCGAGACGATGTTGGCCTTGGTCAGATTCAACTCGGCGGGGTCCATTTCCGCGAAACGGAATTCCTCAACGAAGGATGGCAGGGCCAAAGTCGTGCCAATGAAGGCACTGTCGTAGCCGATCATGCATGCTGCCCATGATGCAATACATGCTGCTGTGTAGACTCTCCAGTTGTAAACCGCCTTTGGTGTTGGTCGATCTTCGACGATGGTAAGGAGACCCATGTTGGTGTAGTGATCCGAAGTGCCTTAGAAAATCCAAAGTGATGGACTCAGATGGCACCGATGAAGGTTGCTAGCCAGACAGGTAGGCGTAGCTGGGGCGAGATGAGGAGTACTTCAATGGACGAAGATCGGCCTACACCTATATATCCCGACCGAGAGGAACCCGGCAACGTGCTGTTTTGCGGAGTATGTGGAGAAAACGCCACAAACCCCATGGAGATGAGCTATGAAGGTGTCAAGCAGTTGCGCATGTGCTCATTGGCCGTCCAGTTCGCAGAAAGGTTGATGCTGAGCTTGGCCCGGAAGAATCGCTAAGCACCCCCAGGAAGAATTGAACATTGTGCGATTGCGGAGAGGAACCATGCTCTCGCCGACCCCAGACCGTTCCTAGGGACCTGGATTTTCGCGCCGGTCATGCCTAGTTGGGAAGTGAAGGAATTACCCACAGGGTTGGTGATGGTGCAGGGCCCGGAAACGCATTTACACGCGAGGTTTAGTGGCCGGGGCATCTTCGCTGATTGGAACAAGGACGCAGCTGTCAGTCGCACACCGGACCGTCGCATAGCCTGCACGCGCTTGACTCGCGTCTCCTCCACGCGCGACATGACTTTTTCCGGTCCCCAACGCGCTGAATCTGGGGTACTGGCGCATGCGTTGGACGTAATCATGGAGCGCTCGACTTCTACCCCGAATACCCGCTTTCCGAGGATTCAATATCTGGAAGAGCATCAGGCGTCACCAGAACGGCAAACCTCCCCAAACTTCATCCTCGTCTCCTAAGCACACGACATTCACATCCACCATGTCTACCGAAACCAGTATACCCGAAGTCTCGCAAACCGAGCGCCATGGCTACCTCTTTGGTCACCCGATCGCCCACTCAATGTCGCCTTTACTACACAAGACCGTGTACGACAACCTTGGATTGAACTGGGCTCAATACCCTCTTGAGTCAAGAGACATGAGTCTGTTCCTGCAATTGATCAAGCATCCTCAATTCTACGGTATGCGCAATACATCAAGCAACCATATTGGTAAACATGACTAACAAACGTGCAGGCGCTTCAGTCACAATGCCTCACAAGGTCGCCATACTAAAACACCTGGACGGCCTTACGGAAGAGGGCAGGGATGTCGGCGCAGTCAACACACTCTTCATCCAACAAGACACTTCAGGGAACCGGTTATACATGGGTACCAACACCGACGTCATAGGAATAAGAGATGCATTTGCATACAACGTGGATCCAGCGAAGTTTGAGAACAGACCTGCGTTAGTGATCGGTGGAGGCGGCGCAGCCAGAAGCGCCGTGTATGCGCTGAGGAAGTGGATGAAGGCCAGTGCCATATATCTTGTGAGTGACCAGACAAACGCATTGCTGAAAGGTGGAAGTTGGTGCTGACAATACCACTCCAGATCAACAGAGATCCCACAGAAGTCGCAGCCGTAATCGAAGAATGCACAGCCCGCGGCTACGGCGACTCCCTCGTCCACGTCTCCTCCGTCTCACAAGCCAAGAGCCTCGAAGGTGTCGGTGCGATCGTAGCCTGCGTACCGAACTTCACGCCCGTCACACCTGCCGAAATCGAGGCGCGGCAAGTTCTCGAATGCTTCCTTGCGAAGTCGCATAAGGGAGCTTTGTTGGAGATGTGCTACCACCCTACGACATGGACGGAGATTGCGGAGGTAGGAAAGCAGAATGATTGGCAGATTGTGCTAGGGACAGAGGCATTGATATATCAGGGTCTGGAACAAGACCGGTATTGGACAGGGAAAGCCGTAGCGGATCTGCCGGTGGTGCAGGTGCAGGAGGCGATCGCCAGAAAGTTGAACGAAGCAAGGCTGTAGATGTTAATGGAATTGGACATACACACATGACATGCGAGGCGCGAGTGAATATGCAAGTCGTGAGTCAACTTGGAAAAGGTAGAATTGCAAGTCGCTAAGCTCCGGGCCGCGAGTAGTCTAGGTTGCGTACCCGCCGCCATACCTCGCGGACTGTCCTCTCTTGACTCTGTCGACCTGTCTCCGTGGGTGATGGTCCCGCAGGTCTGTAACGAAACATTAGCATACGCCTCGCTCTGGTTTACTGCAATACCGACTTACCTGATAGCCAAATATAACCGGCTTCCCAACCTCACTTCCTCTATAGGCGCGCCAGCCCAGTCGTCTGGTGGATTTGCTGTAGTCACTAAACCTCCAGCTTCTTGTAATATAGCAATGCCAGCCGCGACATCCCACTCCCAACAGCCTCCCTCCCACCAGATATCAAACGAGCCCATAGCAACATATGCCAGATCGAGTGTCGCACTCCCTAAACTTCTCACTCCATGTACCATACCTCCTCTTCCCTGCCTTCCCCCAATCTCGGCTGCCATGTTGACAAAACTCTCAATCTTGCGATGCATATTGCCATCAGGCGTATCCCTCCTATCTTTACCCCATTCACATGAAAAGACACACCCGCTAGGCGCTTTCTCTGGCATAGGTGGTATGGGGTTGCGGACGAGTGGGAGGCGTTGGGTTTCGTTGAAGAAGGCGCCGCGACCAGCGCAGGAAGAGAAAAATTGGTTCGTGAACGGCGCGTATATGACGCCAATGAGTGGTTTGGACTTGTAGATGAAGGCGATGCTGACGCAGAACATGGGGAAGAGGTGGATGTAGTTTACGGTTCCGTCGAGCGGGTCGACACACCATGTTGGAGCGTTGTCGATTAGGTAGTCGCGTGATGAGCCTTTGCTGTAGGATTCTTCGCCGACGAATCTACTGCATGTTAACGTGTGTAGCTATGAAGGTGCAGTCAGGGACATACTTGTGGTGAGGGTACTTGTCAGCTATCGCCTTCTTGATGAACGCTTCAACATCCTCATCCGTCTCGGTAACCAGATCAACAGCATTCTCCTTCTGAACATGTTCATCCTGTCCTGTCGCATTCCCACCCTGTATCCGCAGTTGCGCAGCATCCATGAGCATCTTGCCCGCCTGCCGTCCCAGCTGCACAGCAAACGCATAAATCTCATCCAGCTCTTTTCTCGATATTTCCATCATGTTGATCGCGGGTATTGTGTACATGTTAGGTAGATGTTTGGCTAAGAAGAAACGCCATGGCGACCGACACGCGCCGGAACGAATCGCGTCCCAAAACCTCCGTCTGGAACCGTACCGGCTAGAAGCGGAAAGCGACCTGATAGCTGTATGTAGGGAAGTGGGACGTCATGCTCGCAACTGAGGGCAAGAAGGCCGATCGTTAGGGGTGGGGGTAAGGACTTTTCCCCTTCCCTACGTTCCGATAGTCGTCGGAACCTCGGAATGAAACATGTCAAGGTGGGCCCACCCACGCAACGCGACAGACACACTACCTTAGGCATCTCGTCGCGGCCATATACTCCTGATATCACCACGTTCCCACAAACTCCGTGACCAGGCTCATCAACCCTCCTCGCCAGTAATACACGTTCGTAGGGCATATCACCTACTCAGCAACTCAAAATGACCAAATCCATCCTCCTAATAAACGGCCCAAACCTCAACCTCCTCGGCACGCGCGAACCCACAATCTACGGCTCCACATCCCTCTCCGACGTAATCGCCTCCGCACACAAACAATGCACCGCGCAATCCACAAACTTCGCTCACATCCAATCGAACCACGAAGGCGTCCTTGTCGATCGCATACACGAGGCACGCGGCAACGTCGACTTCATTGTCATAAATCCGGGCGCTTTCACACACACGAGCGTGGCGTTGCGAGATGCGTTGGCTGGTGTCGAAATACCGTTTGTTGAGATACATATCAGTAATGTGCATAGGAGGGAGGCGTTTAGACATCATAGCTATCTGAGTGACAAGGCCGAGGCGGTTATCTGTGGATTGGGGGTGTTTGGGTATGAGGCTGCTATTGAGTTTGCGGTGAGGTTTCTTCGGGAGAAGGATGAAAAGGCAGCAAAACTGTAGATAATTGCATATGGAAGACTGATGCGGTGCAATAATGGTTGATTATTAATGTTAAGTAATCTCCGATCAAGTGTCTCGCCTACCAGCTCAATCGTGCGTTCTAGTAAAGCCCTTCTTGATATCCTGTCGCGCCTCGAGGTACGTTTGCAAAGCTGTGATAGCTGGCAACAAAAGCATGACCACGCTCAAAGTCTGGCCAAAGCCCCAGACATTCTCTTCGTCATCTTGCAGTCCGCAAGACTTATCCGGATCCTCTGGCCTTGCAAACTTCTGCGTGAGCACCAAGATGGCGGACAGTATGGCGAGTAGAATCTGGACTACGAACGTGATTGCTGGGTTGAGGAAGAGATAATATATGAGTTGTAGGCCAAGCCGCGCTGGGGAAAGCGCTCGAAGCGTGAAGCCCTTCTGCTTTTGTGTCGGGTCTGTAAATCGACGTACAAGGGCCTGTAATGACCTCTCCGAAGACGACGATGACGGTGATTCGAGTCCTCTGCCTTCTGGGTCATACAGGATGCACACCAATGCTGTTGAGAAGCCGACAAGAATGAGGAATAGAGGGACCAGGAATGAAAGCCTCTGTACACGACTTCGTACCATAGATGTGCCATCATCGCCTTCGACGAGGATCGGCGGCATGGCAATCGCAGCAATCATCGAAGTGAGTAGGAAAACAGCGAAGAATACGACGAGTGTGAGGCGGATCTTCGCAATGAGCTTGTACTTGCGGAAGTATTTGCGGAGCGTGATCAGGGCTGCGAGGTGAGAGGAGGATGATAGCGCGCACACGTAGAGGATAAGAACGAAGTGGGAACCTTGCACTCGGAAAGAGCCTTGAGCCACCTGATTGTGTTCTGTCAGCATGGGTCATCTCGATGGGAAACCGAGCGTACTTTGATCCATCCGCTCAGAAGTACAGCATAGCCCGTGATGAGTTGTTGATCACCGAACCCGATGATGAGTGGGTCAAGAAATGGACGCCACGCGTAGTGCCTCTTCCACTCGTTCTCCAAGAAGCGCTCACGAATGTATGTGAGCGGCGCTCGAGGCGTGAAGTGACCTTTCGTATCGAAGGCTTGATCGAGAAGCATGGCGAGGATGGACGCGAACGTGGTCATGAAGCTTGCAATGACAAAAGACAAGACGACCTGCAGTGTTGTCAGGTTGAGCCTAGACAGGATGATTTGGAGTACCTACACCGACGCCAGCAATGTCTGGCTCTGCTCCATTGGCACAATCTCCATCCCAGGTCGCAATACTATCGAATGTGACCCATGGAGGTGCCATACACTGACCGGAAGTTTACAGCTGGACTTGCAGTGATCTAAGAGCCGCGACCGCAATGGTATAAGGTTATGCAAATTGCCCAAACAGGGCATTGCGAGACGCTTTGAAAAATAGTAGTGATAGATGTATGCGAAGATGGAGGGCGTTAGGTAGGTGAGGAGAAGGCGGTGAGAGTGTGAGGGAGGGATCGATCTGCCTGAGGTGAACTGGAAGTACTAGTTCCCAAGGTTGCCGGCATTGCACGTGTCATCCCGAGGCAAGCGTAGGGGAGGAAGGAGCTATCACCGAAGCTCGCGTCGAACGCAACCTGAGACACCCTGGGACAACAAAAATCCATGTATCGAGCGCAGATCCTGCGTAGGATGGCTAATATAAGCCGTTCGCTGGGTATCACATTCTGTCTATAGAACCTACTTCACTTTTGTTTGCTCTTCGCCTTTACACGAGCAGCCAGCTTCTTGATGTCGTCTTCGCCGTCTGCAGCATCCTGCTTAGATTTCTTCGTCTCTCGTTGATGATCTGGCTCGTCTTCGTCCTTGCCTTGCTTTCGCTTCTTGCGGCCCTCTTCTAGCAGCGCCTTCATAGCAGACGTCTCCTTGAACCTTGGGTTTGTGGGATCGATGGCAAACTCATGGCTCTGGTATAGCTTGGCGAAACGGGGATCGGTGGTGTCGATCTGGAAGTTGTCCTCTACGATGGGAGCGTTCTTCTTCGCTTTCTTGCCCTTCTTCTTAGCCTTCTCCGACTTGACGATCTCGTTCATGTCGAAGTGACGCAGCTTTGAATCGTCTTCATCTGCCATAAGTAGTTCCAGGTTCGCTCGCTCAGCTGCCGCAGCCTGATCCTTTTCCTCTTGCTCCGCCTTCTTCTTGGCCTTCTCAGACTTCTTCGACTTCGGCTTGGAGGCTTTGGCAGCTTCTTCGGGATCAGAAGCAAAGAAAGGATCGTTGAACGGATCGTCATCGTCCGCAGCCGCTGGCGCATCGGCCTCCTGCTCGACTGGTGCGTCGGGATCGCGTCCAGCCTTCTTGGCTTCCCACCTCTCTTTACGTTTCGCCTTCCTTTCTTTCTCCTTTCGAACGTATCTCTCCATTGTAGTCTCTTGTAGTGGGATGTCATTCTCGAACACGTCACCGTTGCCAGCTCCGCTAGAAAGGCCTCCCGTGAAAGTGATCTGCATCTCGCTATCCGGCTTTGGGAAGTCGCGATCCCGTTTCGCAGATGCCTTTTTCTTCGTTTTCGAAGATTTGCCGGGTGCCTCCAGTCCCAGAGCCGCCCTGAGACTTGCGGCTTTGTCCATCTTAGCTGCTTCTTCTTCATCCTCGGACGACGACTGGTCTGAGCCCAAGTATGCTTGCAGCTCGTTCTCGTCAATCTCCTTGCGTGAGAAAGCACGCTTTTGTACCTCCTTCCGTGTCGCATCATCGGCATCCCAGGTCAGCTTGACCTTTGAGTGTGTGAGCGCATCCGTGGAGAACTCATTAGGTTTGTAACCGTCCGGCAGCTTTGCGCATTCGTCGTGGGGATCTTGATCGAAGGTTGTGCCGTCGGGGACGAATCGCAGGTCGAAGAAGTTGGCGCTCGTCAGGTACTCGCGGCCATCAAGGTTGTCGTAGATGGACTTTGCGACGTTCGCGGAAGAGCATGTGATAACGGCATAGTAGTAGCGTAACCGGTCAAGCTGGTAGGCTCGCAACTTGGTGGAGTCGAACTCTTCGCCTGTCTCATCTCCTTGTAGTTCTTCCCCGTTTTGTTCCTCGTCGTCCACCTCAGAAGCGTCGGAGTCGTCGTCGAGCGCGCTAATGTTGTTCTTGTCCTTGTTGGAGGTTGAAGCGAAGATCTCACGAGGCGGTCCTTCGATTTCTTCCCGTTGTAGGCGCTCCATACCAAATTCGCTAGGGTATATGACGACGTTGAGAATGCGTCCATCAGCCGGGACGAAGGAGTTTGCTACGGCCATGATATCGGTGGCCCGTATGTTGTCCCAGTCCATGTTCACGGCAGCCAGACGTGCCGAGATGTCGCCCGTCGGGACTTCGTTGTCGTCACCGGCAAGTTCGGTCTGCTCCTCCAGCTCAGCCTCATCCTCTTCGTCGCTCGAGCTTTCGTCGGATGAAGACTCTAGTCCACCGTCTCGGATAGGGTCAAAGCCTTGCTGCTCCACCCTCTGCATCTCCTTCTTGACCGCCTTGTCCCGCTTCTTGTCGGCCGGACGTGCTAGCTCGGGCTCATCGTCGGCTTCATCTTCGTCTTCGTCGTCTTTGTCGTCGCTATCGGCGTCGTATAACCGGTCGATGGCCTTTTTGCCAGCCTTCTTGTCCACCTTGCGGCCATATTTGTCGACCGTGGCCTTGTTATAGAAGTCGGGGTCGCTTTTTAATCGCGAGAATCGCGGGTCAAGCTTGGTCTTGGTGTGCTTCTTCGAGGGGAGTCTGAATTTTGGGTCGGTTTCGAAATTTGCGAATCGCGAATCGTCTATCGATAATTAGCGCAGTGCTCGGCTGTCGCGCGAATCGCAACTTGCCCTTAGGCGCGCTGGCCTTTGCGCCCTTTACGGGTATCGTCTGTCGCTTGGGGAGAGGCATGGTGGGATGCGCGTGTTGGTGTAAGCGGTGGGCAGGCGCGCGGCGCGGAATTGCAGCTGCGGAACTCGAACTTTTTCTGCCGGGCGGTGGCAGATCGGCGGCGAAAAGCGTGCATTGGTTACCGCCGCGGAGGTCATCGCACGCACGGGCAGGGATTCGGCAGCCCGATCTGGGGAAGCTTTGGCTGCGTCACCCTCGAGAGGGGAAATTCATCACACGACTGTTCCGGAAGCCTCTCCGCCGTCTCAACCACTTCTCCGCCGTCTGGGGAAAGCTGACATTGTACACCCATTTCAACATTCACGTCTAACTGAACACATCCCAGATACAACATCATGTCTCAACTCTCCAGACTTCTCACGTAAGTTGACCGCTGATTGAGCGCTGTCTAGCTTCAGCTTGTACCTAGCGAGCTAGCTGATGCTGACTCTGGATTGCAGTCCTCGCAATATGACTTTGTTCACTCTGGCTTCGCTCGGCAGCGGCTACTTTGTTGTCAAGTCAAAGACACTTGCCGACAGGCAGAGAGCCCGAGTTGATGGAGACTACACCGTCACGGTCGACAGGTCAGGTACGATTTGTCAATTGCATTGAAATCTGGCCCGGAAACCCACGATTAGAAATGTACATTGCGCTGACTGTAGACTATAGGTGGCGGCATCTGATTGCGTCAGGAATGACCATCCAAAGAAGCGATGCAGTTTCTTCCCTTGCACGAACGGCGTTCACTACATTTGCAGCGTTTCAAGCTCGGCGTCCTTCTTTATCACGTCAAATACCAACAAAGAACATAATGCGCATAGAAACGACACTCATACCAATGCTTGTGGATTATCGAGAAAGCGAAAATAACAGAATTGTCCACTATTCTCTGTTCCACAAGGTGTATGCTATCGCGGTGCTTCCACGATGTCCCCGCCTTTTATACGACTACTGCTATGCTTTTTCCGAGTGCGCGACTCTAACAATGGCATGCGATACGAAGAACAGGCTTGAAATGCTCCGAAATAAAATCCTATGCGCCGAACATTAGTTTCAAGTTCTCTCGTACCCGTCGGGCGACCCGCATCCGTTGGTAATTACGATTGGCCCACCTGCCCGATGCTAAATATAACCCACTCAGCCTCAATCGAGAATACCCTAAACACGACAACAGAGATGAAAATAGTATGACGTCCTTTCGTACCTTCGGAGCGTCAAAGATCCGCCACTGAGCATATCCACCTTCAATCTGTCAAATGCTAACCGCTCCCTTGTTGGGCCCACTGCTGGCTCAGCCTTTGCCGAAGTTGTTGTCAGCCGTCTTTCAAATCCAGCCAATGAGACCACACTCCATCAGCATCGGTCATGGGAATTCTCAAATACGGGATCAGCAGAGCCGTCCAGGCTTGTGTCACCGCTGTTGCTTATAGAAAGACTTTCCATCCGTGCGCTGAAATGGTGGAGCTGCGAATAGATATCGTCGACCCTTCCACCTGACAAAAGTCTTACTCAACCACTCCATAGTTCTCTTTGTGCAGCTTCGTACACCTGCTGACGGCCATCCGCTCTCACAACTACTCGTGCGACCACATATCGATGTCCTGTTGTTACTTTCACCGCTCTTGATTCGAACGCGCAACACAACTATCAACATGGGTTATCATGATGTTGCTGGGCATGGAAGACGAAAGCCCAGGCAAAAGAACGAGATGCAAGCACCATGTCAATCAAATGTGTTGGCGGCAGCAAGTCATGTCCGTCGACTATTTGAAAGCAAGAAGTTCACTTATGCTGTCATGGGTGAGCTTGCTTTACTTTGCTTAGGACATAGGTGTGAGGTATGGAATATCTTCATTGCGTACGACGACAAAGACTGCAATCGGATAAAGAAGAAACTAGAAGGCGATCGGCGGTAGGTGATACTTACCTCCCTCAAAGATGACGGGCTGACAGCAACAGTATACAACTGCCAGAGGGCCTGAGCCCTTTGTCTCCCTCCAAGATACTAGTACAAACCGGCCCTAGCTTCTTAGATACCGGATGTACAAATCCAGCGATAATAGAAGTGACTCTAGTACCATCTGGTCAGTCAAACCTGAGCCCGTTGTGGCATCCTGCTAATCGTGCGCAGGCTCATGTGAGACACCGCCCAGCGGGAACCTTGCGAATAACCTCGTACTATTGAGTCTCCGAGCCGATGGGGTATTGAAAACATTTTACGCGTTGAACATGCTATATCTCGTCAGAACACTGCTCCACTTCTGTCAGATTCGCAGTCTAGCCTGGGAACCACGGGAGGGTGTTTTGTTCCTATGCCAACTCTACCGGAGCCAAGTAGAGGCAATCCGCTGTCACTTGCAACCGAAAATCGTTGAAGAGAACTTCTTGCGTACAGCTTTCCTCAGCAAGCTTCCCGTTCAAGAGCAACGCAAA